ATAGGATTTCTTTATTCTTTTCTTTTCCTTTTTTTTTTTGGTGTGGTACCAAAGATTGAATAATTTCCTTATTTTTTATGACTGAATAATATACATCATTTCAAAATTTCTTTCTTCATTTATCTGTATAGAGCTACTTGGGTTATTTACATGTCTTGACTCTTGTAACTATGCTACAATGAACATGGAAGTGCAGATAATCTTTGAAACACTGATTTCAGCATGTATATATATGAATTAGGATGATGAACACCAGTTGGTCTCACTTATATGTGGAATCTGAAGCAATTAATTGATTTCATAGAAACAGAGAACAGAATTATAGTGGTGGTCATCAGAGACCAGGGGAAGAGGAAATAGAGGAGGAGAAATGTAGTCTGAAGTAGAGATGCTGAGTCTAACCAGCACCATCTTGGCCATATGGTAGATGATAGGGTATTAGGTTTAACTGACACCATCTTGTCTTCATGGTGGAGGCAGGGAAGTCCTACCTACCAGTTGATGGGTGTGCCTGAATTCCCAGAGGCAGGGGAAGGGATTTGGACAATAGGTTGCTGGACCTGCCAGTCTTGGGTCATGAACTCTCAAGCTCCCTGTGACCCCTACCCCTTGACCTGATCCTATTTAAGCCTGGACCAGAAATCAAATCTGACCTTCTATCCATGTTATCAATAAAGTTTTTTTGAAACATAGTCACGCTCATTCACTTTTGTGTGGACTATGACAGTTTCCCCACTGCAATGGCAGAGGTTAGTAGTTTTAACAGAGATGGCATGGTGCACAATATAAAACAAATGTTTTATATTTGACAACACACAGACAAACCTTGTTTATGTCTGATACAGCTGAACCAAGGTTAGCCATGAGTAGACAGATAATTATAGAGGCTGAGTGATAGAGACATGGGAACTAATTACAGTAAAATTTCCTTTCTATGTGTTTTAAATTCTATAATAATAATAACAGCTCTAAGGCTTAAAAAAATTCTGATAACGTTAGTAAAAGCCTTGGCTTGATCTGGACTTTTCATTATGGATGGTACCATGGGTCTGATCTAAGGAACATCCTTCACAATGCTGCCACTGAGGAAGTTCACAAAGCCTGTTTGAATCCAGTTTAGCAAGGTTTGGGCCTGCCTTTGGGGGATCACCGCACCTACAGCCAGCAGCCTGCATTTCCACTGCTTGCTTCCGTGCATTAACAAGCTGAGTACATCCAGAAAGAAGTTTGTTTTGCCTGGCATAGCAAACATAATCCTTCTTCAAGGGACATCTCTATTCCTTAGAAGAATAAATTGATCCTCTACTGTGATAAAGGAATGGTTCTTGAGAGATTTTCAAATGTATAGAAAGTCTTTGAAATGCTATAGATCATACAGATGTATGCATATCCGCAATTACAGACATATAGACATCTACTACAAATATATATGTATATATATATGTATATCTATCTAATACTAAAGCACAAAATACCCTCACTATTCAGCCACTTACCTAATGTAATGTTTCCTATAGAAGCTGTTATGTTTTTGTTTTTCCCCTTTTGTTGCTGTACTTTTTTTGTACTTTTTGTTTTGTATGTAAATTTATCTGTTTGGGGAAGGGCAGGGGGAAGCACAGAAATAGTGAGACAAAGGGTGACTTAATTCAGTAGTGATCTAGACACTGCATTGAAAATGAACTATACAGTTTGGGAGGGGGAGAGGGAAGAAAATAAGGGGAAAAGTGACACTGTTGGAAAGAAATGTACTCATTACCTGACCTATGTAACTGTAACCCCCCTGTACATCACCTTTACAATAAAAATAAATTTTAAAAAGAAAGAAGTAAGCCATCTTCATTTACATTCATTAATAGCATGAAAGTGAATCCATTAAATTAGTGAAGGCCTGTGATGGAACTTCACTCATCCCACATAAGGGCAGTAGCTGCTTTGCAACTCAGATACTGAAAGATTTCTTTGAAAATTTTGCATCTCATGAAGTAATTGTTAGAGACACCTCTCCTTCCATCTATCCATCTTTCTTCTTTCTTTCTTTTCTTTCTTTCTTTCTTCCTTCCTTCCTTCCTTCCTTTCTTTCTTTCCTTTTTTGGTGCTGGTCTTGGGACTTGAACTCAGGACCTGGGAGTTGTTTTTTGCTGGAGGCTCTAGCCCTCTACCACTTGAGCCACATCTTTACTTCCAGCTTTTTGGTGGTTAATTAGGGATAAGAGTCTCATGGACATTGTTGCCAGGCTGACTTCAAATCCTCAGATCTTAGGCTCCTTTTGACACATTTCATTTCATTTTATTTCATTTGTTTGTTTTTACTTATTTTTAATATAATTTTATTATTATTAAGGCATTATACAAAAGAATTACCATTTGACACCACACATTTCTAAATTTAACTTATTCTATTAACATTTTATCCATCATTTTCTTAAAATTAAATAAGCAAACAATAAATCAAGCCCTATTTCTTTATCCATGTCCTATTTCCATGGTACAAATGATCCTGCAATTGTTAGTGAAGGATACCACACAGCCATTCCAGGGGACCACGCGGAGGCAGGCAGGCAGGCACAGGAGAAAGATTATTACAAGGTTTATTAGCGGAACCATATTTCCCCCAAGAGGGAGCACATGGCCTCCGCACCATCCAGGTAGCAGGAGGGTCTGGGGGAGAGGAACTGAGGTAGATGGAAGTTCAGGCGGGTCAGGGGCCAGCTGTATGGTGGGAACTCCAGGAATGGGAGGGGGCCCAGGTCTGGGTGGAGCTGAGGACCAAAGGTGAGCATAATACTAACCGTTAGCCAAGAAGGGATGCATGATAGAACACTGTTCTGTGGAATATCTACAATACTTGGCAAGTGATGTAGCTTAGTGGTACAGTACTTGCTTAGCCAAATGTGAAGCCTTGAGCTCAATACCCAGTTTGGCAAGAAGGGATGGAAGCCAGGAAGGCAGAAAGATAGGGAAAAAGGAAGGAAGGACAGGGAAGGAGGACGGGAGGAGGGAGGGAGGAAAAGAAGAATGGGGGGAGAGGGTGATGGAAGGAAGGAGGGAAGAAGGAAACAAAGCACTCAAGATCTTTGAGGATAATGGAGTTGTGGGAGGAGAAATAATAATGAAATATTAGAATTTCTGTTATCTAGTGAATGCCTTCAAATTTGGGCACTGTATAAATTTAAGTTTGATTCCATGGAATTTTCATAAATTAAAGCAGAATTTACATTAATTCTCTCTTTTTTGCTTCTCCCAAACAGTTTGAAAATACTGAGACAGAGCCCAGAGAGTTTCTGGCACTTTAACTCCAATTAAGGATTTGACACATTACAAATGAAATACAGCACATGCAAATAGTGTTCAGGATATTTGACACAGTTTTTGGGCTAAGTATATTGGGAGAACAAGTACTCCTTTTTTGGAGCATGAAACTCAGCAATTAAGTCCCTGCTTCATTAAATACCTACTGTATTAGCAGCTGTGCAATTTGACTGCTTGGAAGCTTCTGGGAGCTAATGTCCTATCTGTGATCTGAGCAGAAATATTATTTGTGCAGATACATCCCTGAGTAATCATGGAATTCAAATAGAAAAGAATCAAGCATGCCTTGCAATCAGATTTTGCAAAACTGGGAGTGTTCTTGGAAAGTCAGCACAACTAATCAACCTTGATCCTTGCAATCTGCTAAAGAAGAATTCAGTGAAAGTGATGGAGAGTTGGCTAGGAAAGAAATACGGCAGAGAAAGGAGATTATATGTTACAGGCATTCCCTGGGAAGACAGCATTTTAGTTCATCTTCAATTATCTTCAGAGTACAGATGTGAGCATTAGGTTTAAACAGAGAAATAATTAGGGACAGGGGACAAAGGTATGATCATGTGTCCTGCCTTGTCATTATATCAGTTCTGGTTCTTCCAGGTTCCAGAGAAGTTATTATCGATATCAACACTTAAAGAGAACAATTCTCCCGAGATGATTTCTGCAGTCTGACCATTATTGGTAATTACCCTCATCTGGGATGATCTGCCCTGCAAGGCCCTGCTATTCCTCAGCAGTAGTTTTGGTGCTTTGCCATAAAGACACTACTGATCTGTCCTGCCTTTCCTGGTGCCTAAGGTAGTTACAAAATGACTGAAGAGAACAGCTTTGAACAATGGCGAATGCAAGATGGAAGCTGTAGACCTCTCTTCTGTTTGTAGTTAATTGATAGCAGCAAAAACAGGTTAAGAACTGATAACAAATACACTTTCACTAGACTGACAGTGGTTTGTCCCTCTGGTGAGAATAACAGTATTAGCCTTAGGGGCCAGAGTTATTGAGATTGCCAGAGAGGCATTTCCTATACCTAGATTTATTCCACAGGACTGAGACTACCTTGAAGAAAGTTTAATTACTATATTTTGTCTGAAACCTTGTGATCACATTCTCCATTTAAATTCCCTTCATTTCCCCGTTGCTCATAGCTCCATGGCTCTATTAAGCCACACCATAGGGCTTTGTCCCTAGATTGCAAAGGAAACATCTACCAGTATTTGACAACTTTAGTACTGTGCATTACTAACCATCTATTCTATAAATGTAGTGTGTTAGAGAATTAATATTTCAATATTCTTCAAACTATCCACATGTGATCTAGTCATATAAATTAATGCATATTGAAAAGAGATCTTACTTTTTGTATTTTAAATCCTCAAAAAAAAAAAACAGAAGCAGCAAATCTAATTTACAATTTCAAGGTTGGAACCCCATAGGGATGTTGACAAAACACTCAGGTGTTTGCAGCCTGAGAATAGCAAAGCCAGTCAGGGCAGGGCCTGGGGCAGGAAAGAGTTGAGCACAACCACCCACCCCCCTTCTCCTGCCCTTCCTCTCCCATTTCTTCTCTCCTCCCAACAGTGGTTGGCTCCCTGGGTCATCTGGCTGATTCATTGTTGCTGTAAAAACAGGACTGAGTTTACACTGAAACCAGAGGAAACTAGTCACACCGAAGCTCTGCTGATCAGCTGAGCGATTGTGCCACCAGCCCTGTCCTTCACAGGTGTAAGTTCTTCAGGCCTGACCAGGACTTCAGAACTCTTCTAGCCAGAGTTGGCTGAGATCTTTCCCCCATGCTTGAGAGTGCAGAGCTATACTTCAACGTGGACCATGGCTACCTGGAGGGCCTGGTGCGAGGCTGCAAAGCCAGCCTCCTGACCCAGCAGGACTACATCAACCTGGTTCAGTGTGAGACCTTAGAAGGTGAGTAGAGCTCTCCTTACCCTTTGAAAAGGAAGAAAGGAAATGATGGTTCTCAGGAAGCAAGGGGAAGGGACTAGGATCACACCAAAAAGCCTTATGCGGATTCCTTTTTTTTTTTTTTTTGCCAGTCCTGGGGCTTGAATTCAGAGCCTGGGCATGTCCTTGAGCTTCTTTAGCTCAAGGCTAGCACTCTACCACTTGAGCCACAGTGCCACTTAGGGCTTTTTCTGTTTATGTGGTACTGAGGAATCCAACCCAGGGCTTCATGCATGCTAGGCAAGCACTCTACCACTGGGCCACCTTCCCAGCCCCTTAAGTGTATTCTTATTCCTACAATCTAAACTTGTAGTGATAAAGACTTAGATGGAGAAAAACATTAGATCTCTATTTCCTGGAATTTAGACTTCTAGTGATCATGACATAGATGAGAAAAAACATTAGATCTCTATTTTCAATATCTTCTAAGTGAGTTTAATATGATCTTTCCTTAAGGTTATAAAATCCCAGTAGTTAACAGAATCAGTGTCTGTGATGATCACCAATAGAAAATTCAATATTGTCCGATCTTTTTAAAGTTCTTACAGACACTTTAAAACATCATGGTGGGTTTTCTCCATTTTAATATCTCAGTAAGGAAATATCAATATTTATTACAGTTTACAACATTCTAAGCCAGATATGGTGGTGACCCCAGCACTCAGGCAGCTAAAATGGGAGGATTGTGAGTTCATGGCCAGCTTGGTATAGCAAGACTCTGTTTTAAAACCCAAAAGGAAAACATTTCATGACTATGTCACAAACAATTTAATTCCCTTTGCATTTTCATTCTACATACTTATGAATACGAATTGGAACAGACCTTCACCAAATTGCCAAGTGATCGCTGGCAAAACAAAAACAACATGAAAATTTTGGTTTGTCTTTAACTGAAGTCTAAAAAAAAAAAATGACTGGACTGTGAAGGGTCTTGGCATGAATTCAGAATTCCTGCCTTTGACCTCTGCCACTTTAAGTAGATGACCTTGGGACTCTAAGCCTCTGAGCCTCAAAGTCATCACTTGTGAAGAAGATGTTGACTTAGGTGAGAAATAGTGAAAAATATAGGAGAAAACTCTCAGTGGAAAGAAATTACCTTCAAACTACATTTGTTCCCCCAAATTTTACCAAAGATAGCACATGTAAAGTAGTAATCTGTTATTAACAACAGCTCTACTGGCTCATGTTGACTTATACAATCAAATAGGATACTTTAAAGCTTTTAGGTTAATTTTAGAAGCAGCAAGTAAGCTCTATAGAGAAAGCCTCCTAGGAAGGGTATTAGCAGGTGAAAACAAACTAGAAAAAAATGTGAAAGTGATCTTGCAGGCTTCCAGGGTAGAACAGAAGGGGATCTGGCTACTTGTTTTTGATTGTGACCAGTTAAAGCTAGAGTTCCGGCCACATTGCCCAAGCCAAGAAAATCTGACCTATCTATCATTAGCATTAGGAATAGGAAGACTCTTTCAGATGAGAATTCTGCTGGCTATAAATCATCATCTATAATCACTGGAAGTTTGATGACTGAACAGTGTTTAGGCTACTCATAAAACTATTCAGAGAGAAACCAAGGGAAGTCATAACTAAGGCCATAGAAAGAATCCTAGGTAATAAAACGGTAACAAAGATTTTAAAAAAAACCAACAAGAATTAAAAGGTATACCCAATATTTTCTGCTATGAGCCTTCTGACTAAAAGACTCAATTCAGAGAGGGAGAAGGAAGAGAAGCATTTAGGATAACACATCTGTCATCTGAATAGGCATTTGACTGAACCTGGTCCCTTTATTTTCAATTTGGAAGAGAAAGAAAGGATTCAGACTTATTTTCAAGAGACCACAGAACACAATTGGAAACATAAATAAGTTCACACATGCAGAATCCTACCCCCAACAAAGTTGGGCGCCAGAGACCACCCAAAGCCATCTCTGACCCCTGGTTAAGAATGCCCGCCACATACATCATTGCCTTCATGCCTCTACCTTTCTTCCTAGAAATCAGCTTTCTCATTTCCCAACTCTATTTGAAACTGTGTATAATCTGCTCTTTGAAGAACTGCCAGAAATCAAAGTGAGCCATTAAACCATGTTTGGGCTATCATGGCTGTTGGAGAAATAAATCTAAATAAGATTTAATGTCTTCAGGTGAGGACATTGAAGCTTAGGCTGGTAGTAAGGAAACTACAGGCTGCCAGTGATGGAGTATACAGAGATGTCTGTCTCTTTTACCACTAAAATGCAACTGCTTCCTGTGTATAGGAGGTCAGTTTATTGATGAATGTCAGATCCTTTTGCAAATAGAAAATAAAAAGAACTACACTGCTGATTATTTTCTAGGATGGGGAAGGGGAAGAACTGGTGGCCACTTGTGAAAGCAAAATGTTCTTCTTCTTCTTTTTTTATTTTTGGTGAATGTGCTTGTAGAGACCCAGCCATTTCCTAAGCTAGATTCAGAGTTGAGAATCAATCAATGTCATTTGTTGAGCTAGAATTAAAAACTTCAGGGTTTGTGTTTACTTTTGCCAAGAGCGTATCCGATCACAGATAAAGAAGAGAAGATAAAACTGTGTCCAGTAGACTACTCCACGCTGAAGCAGAAGCATTCTGAAAAAGAAAAGGTGACTTGGCAGTAATTGAATTGCTTGACTCTATTTTAAAGTCCTCTAGTCTTCCTTGACAAGTATTCTGGCAGGAATGGTGTTGAAGCACTTGAAGGAAAACATGAGTGTTTTAGGTAAATTTAGAAGAAAGGAAAGAAAGATGGTCCAGAAATACATTGGGAAGTCTTAGTATTAACAACTGTGCTAGATTATATTCCTAAATGGGCAATGTGGTCAGAAATACTCATCTTTTCCATGGCCTGACCTTGACTAAAAGGGACTTGAGCCACAGTGGCACCACTGTGACTCACTTTTCTGGGTAGAAAAGAAGGAAGCTAGTATTCTTTTGAATTTATTTATTTATTTACTTATTTATGTTGGTTGTGGGGCTTGAACTCAGTGCCTGGGTGCTTTCTCTGAGCTCCTTCGCTCATGGCTAGTGCTTTAGAAACTTTGAGCTACAGCTCTACTTTCGATTTTTAGTGGTTAATTGGAGATAATAGTCTCACAAGGACTTTTCTGCCCTGGTTGGCTTTGAACTGTGATCCAAATAGCTAAGCTTATAGGCATGAGTCACCAGCACCTGACTCTTTAAAAATATTAGCACTGTTATTTTCATCAACATTGGAAATACAAATAAAATTATATGTAAATTTGTCTCCTGTGTGGCAAAGACAAAGACTAATACTTTAAGATTATCAATGAATAGCCTTTTCTGAAACATACAGGGTAAAGGTTTGCCTTGGCTCTCAGGATTCTGGGGGAGCTCTTTACTCTGGATTGCATTTTCACTGTACTCCTCATCACAGATTTTTGGAAGGGCCTGAGGGAAGCGAGCGCATGCTTCCCTCCCTTAACAAAGTACTTGACCTTCTCCAACTCTACTTCTCATTAGAAGTTAATTCAACAAGTGTATATATACTAAGCACTTTCTACCAAAGGCCAGAGAAGTAAAGATGAATTAAGATACAGATCCTGCTTCAAAGTAACTCCTACTCTGGAGAATAGAAAAACAGCTGAAAAATAAGAAAGCTGAAAGGAAGACGTTGGATACTAGCTACAGAAATTTGGGCACCAACTACAGAAATTTCAAATGCTTATCCACTAAGTTTAGAAACCCCAAGGCTCTCAAAAAGTTCCACACAGGAGATGACAGAGCTCTTCATGTAGTCCTGTGAGGAGTACTGAAAGATGGAAATAAATCAAATGATTCTTTTCACTTCAGTAAGTTATGGGACTTTCTTATAATGGAATATTTTACAGTTAGGAAAACAAGCAAATAACAAGAACAGTAGCACAACAATAAACAAAAAGGCCCAAGGAAGCATTCTAAGAAGGCAGAAATAGATTTCCAAATGCATTCATTGAGATAAGCAAGGGAGAGAACCACTGTAGCATGATACTCTAAAAGGGTAGCTTTTAACTGCATGCCAGTGGCTCACACCACGAAACCTAGCTACTCAGGAGGCTAAGATCTGAGGATGGAAGTTCAAAGACAGCCCAGCCAGGAAAGTCCCTAAGACTCTTATCTCCAATAAATTACTCCCCTCAAAAAGTCAGAAGTGGAACTCTGACTCAAGCGATAGAGCTCAAGTATCCTTGAGCAAAAAGCTCAAGGACATCACCCTGTGCCCAAATCCTGAGTTCAAGTTGCAGGATTGGCACCAAAACAAACAAGCAAATAAATAAAAAAATAAGAATGGGGCTTTAACTATTTTTGGTCAAGGGGCTTTAACTCAGGACTTGGGCATTGTCCTTGAGCTTTTTTCAAGGTTAGTCTCTAGAGCTCTACCACTTAGAGGCAGAGCACCACTTTCAGTTTCCAGGTGGTTAATTATAGATATGAGTCTCAAAAACTTTCCTGCCCAGATGGGGCCAGCTTTGAACAGCAATCTTCAGACTTCAGCCTCTTGAGAAGAAGCGAGAGCCACCAGCACCCAGCTAATTTGTCAGTATTTTCTGTATAATTGTGTATCTATAAAACAAAAATTGTAAACAGATCCAAGAGAAATAAAATGTAGTGATTATCTGAAGCCAGAAATAGGTGGCAGAGAAGGTACATGTATGTGTGTCAGGTAGAGGAGAAAGTTCAGTTTACCTATGTTTATACCTACTGCTTATTATCATATTTATACATACAAACAAGAGGAAGACTCTTATTTCAGAAGGAAGACTCTTATTTCAGAGAACTTTCTCCATAATGTCTTACATGTTATTTGTACCTCTAATTGTATCTTTTTTTAAACTTAAAATGAAAACCAATGCACCCCCTGGTTTCCATAAGGAAAGACACACTTCCTTCTTATCTTTAAAAAAAAATTCTCACTGATCTCAGCTTTCTCTCAAGCATTTCTTCACATGCCTGC